TGTACCCATGCTGGGAAACGAACCCGGGACTTCGGCGTGACGAGCGAACGCTTTAACCGCTGGGCTACCCCACCGCCCCGGAAGCTGACAGGGTAATGGAGGCGAAGAACAATTTGATATGCCACGAATGGCGCTTAAAATGTTGAATGAAATATATTTTACGTGAGTAATTATTAAATATGAGGTTGGAAATCTGAGCGTACTACCCCGTGAGGAAATGGGTGTCTACCTTTGATGGTGGCGATATTTTATTTTGTCATTAAAAATATTTTTCGAACCGAAGCGAGGGAAGTACGTTGATAACCTTTACTCGCTTCGCCTCGCTCGCAAAAAGGAAGACTGGTAAAAAATTCTGTTGCGCAACCCTATTTGCGCTACAGTTTGCCTGTGCGTCACTATACGTGTTATCGTCAACTGATTGTATCAATTTGCTCCCAGGTCACTGTGTAGGCAAATTCTTGCTGCTGGAGGAGAGGTTCAGCTTCTATGATGCCCGAATGAGATGTCAGCAACTCGGGTACACAGACCTCGCCGTTCTCAACACCGTGACTCGGTCTCTGAAGGCGATCAGGTACCTGAGGTGAGTTATCACCCCTTCTTAATTCTCATCAGCAACGCCAGGTAACGTTTAAAAGCAAAACACAATGTCCAATTATTCTCTAAAAACGTTCAGAGAATGGATAACTAATTTGAACAGAGCGCTATAATATATTTTATGTTCGAGTCATAAGTTAGGATATTGTTGCCAGAGGCCAGCTACGACCTTCCTTGCATTATCTGGCAAACTGGCCCCGTCCGTCCCCATTTGTCCTTTTTTTAAGCTGTACGAAGACATTTATTAACTTGAGTAAAACCGGTTAATGATTTACGTAACATATTAATACACTTTTATTTTACAAATTCTTATGAATCGAAGCTATATGCACCGTGTTTGAAAAAACTCAATCAGTCAAAGTCCAATTATACTTTTCATAAAACATGTTATGTTTGAGATGCTTTTTGACAGATGATCAATTTTGTTATGACGACGATCTTTCAGTTGCTCTTGAACATCTCTAGTGTGTTTCCACTCTGAATTCCTTCTGATGCTCGGTAGATATTTATATTATGTTCATAGCAGATTCACAGTGTATGATCTCATACAGTGCAAACCGGATATAGTGCGCTGTACGTTCGTGCTTTAGTTTATAGAAACGTTGTCACGGGCTCCTTTTTGCTGTTTTTTTTATTACTTTGAGTATAGTTCAAGTACTAAAATGAGCGAAACACTTCCTTTTACTCTTATAAACTATAATTCACTGCTAATTTGGATAATGACCCTCTTATTTCTTTCAAATATCAAAAGCGCATCGCCGATATTGCTCCTTCACAGAAAACATCGGAAATGAAGCCACAATATGCCTTAATTTCGCAGTTTCTTGGTATAATTTGACAACATATGAAATATGTGATAAATAAGCTTTCAAATGGTGTATAATATTCGGAATCCTAACACAGACTATTCGTTTCTTTACACGAGAGTTAAACGTTACCCACCTATGCATCATCACCGTACAAGTTGATACCCGCTAGTACAGTTGGTTGATAGCGCTTTCAAAACAAATCACTGTACGGTTTCTAGTTAGTTCATGTTATCATTTCTAAGTAATTGAAGTTCCTAATTATATATTTTGCTTCATTTTCTTAAGGTACTTCTAAATTCAACACAGGTCAACTAAAAGAACACTTCAGTTTGCTATTATTGTGATTTTCGGACACATTCTTTCAACATTATCAGTGACCACTGTATTATCAATCACCATCCAGTGAATTAAAATACAAATTCTAATATCTTATCTTAAACATTGTATATTCAAACCCAAAATTTCAAACTGAAGTATTCAGTCCCCTTAAGAAAAAGTCTAAATGTGATATGAAGGAAGGCGTGTTTGGCCAGATGCGTCTTGCCAATGAATGAGTTAACAGAGGAACTAGATAGGAATACAAAAACATTTTCCACGCATGACGCTAGCCCTCGGACCTTATCGACAATTGTTATTCCTGCATGTGGGAGTTTTGATGGAGGTTCTATGAAAGAAATGATAGAATTTCTTCAACTAGTCTGAAATAACTTAAAGGAAGTCGGGCATGATGATATGTTTTTTAACTTTACACGATTGGTTGCTTCAAATTCATTTCCCTTTGACAATATTGCGTTCGTGCTGTATCGTGGTATTTACTCGACAACACTGTACTGATGAGATACAGTGATGTTACACAGTGTTTTTGGAGCATTGGGCTGAAAAACACCGGCACAGTGACAGAGGGAATAGTCCCTAGTGGTGTGTATGTTCCTAATGATTCCAAAGTACACCGAGACTTCGCAGTTCCTGATAGGACTGTTCTGGACAGAATGAAAGGTCCAATTGAAGACAACCAACTTGTACCTTCTTGCAAATGCAGGACATGATTGCTAAAACTGACCCAAAACAAGTTAACACTTACAAAATGTGTGTTAATGGAAAGAAAATCAATGCCTGTACGGGTGGAAAGTAAGGGGATGTTGATTTATGTGGGGTAAAGGAGCATCCGACTCTCATCGGAAACATGTTAACTATCACACGAAACTCGTATTTTGGAAAGTTGTGAAGAACTTCTTAACAGTTTGGAATTTCGTGAATTAGAACAGGTTACCGAATGTTCAGACGAATAAAAAAACATAGTTCATGTCATTGGGTCATGATGTCACTAAGATTTGCAGTGGTCACGTGAGACAAGGGAGACAACTCAAAGTTGGAAAAACTCTTGCTCATGACAAATTTCTGAAAGCTGTAACTTGTGATTGGAGACAGTCCTAATATGTTTTCGTAATAAGTTCTCTCAAAACAAGATATACCAGTACAATATATACATACGTTGAATGTGTCCAAATATATCAATAAAGCCCACCTTTGAATAAGCTCTCAGTCAGGACGTTATTCAGTTATACGCTATATTCGGTACAGAGAAACAAACAGTTTCGGCTATAACCCAGTATAGTGATGCTGTATTGTTGCCAGTGAATTCATTGATAACATCATAACTAAACCAGTTTGAAACATGAAAATTCACACATACATTCTAAAATATATTACAAAGAGAATACTGGTAGCTCTTTAGGCTAACATGATGGTATATGTGAGTAAAAGCCTGTCGAATTTGGCTCGATGCGCAAGAGGTGAAAAAAATTATGTTTTCTTTAACATACAGATATCTCGCTAATAATTACTGTAAATATTATATCAAAGTTATCTAATGTTGTAGCGCAGCCTATTTGCCTGTGTTATTTTACTGTTCTTTGTCTTTTAATACACGTTTTTGATCGAGCATACCTGTTTAGACGACACATCTATCAACCAAAGCACGAGCGTACAGCGCACTATATCCGGTTTGCAGTGTACGAGATCATACACTGTGAGATTGCCGAACATAATTCTTTAAAGGTCACATGCAACGTAAAACACAACTTTGCAGATTCTTCTACCTTTCGGTATGGACTTACAGTAACAAATTATCAAAAATGCAAATTCAACTTATAAAGTTGAAAAATAACGCGATGAAAAAACCCCGTGAAATCGGAGTTCAAACGATTCACTAAATTCACCCCAGCTGGGGTGAAAAGTGGTTTCAACAGCTGTGCTGCGCTGCGCTGTACTGCGCTCATGGCGCATGCGCAGTGAATAGGTTCGCGCAGCTTGGAAGCGGGATGTCCGAATTATAAGGTCGTGAGCAGGAGTAGTCTAATCTTGGTTGTGTACACAAGCAACAAATAGTAAATAATCTACTCGTTACATAAAAGAACCTTGTTAAGGATCTAGATCTACTCAGCTATGTTTCAACCATAGTCGATCACTGACCACATGCAATTTGAACTTAACACCTATCAGGCTATACACCATAAACAAAACGCATTGATTTATGGCTCGTGCACCCGAGTTCTGTCTCTATCACATTATGTAATTACACAGACAGGCAGGCGTGATTCTTGTACACATGACATGTTATGATGTCTGTTGATTGCAAAATGTTATACACAAAAAATAAGCACGTTTTTACAAAACCTAACATCTCTATACACAACACAAAGAGTCCTGAGCGTATCGGCAAATGAACCAGCCAATGAAAGGCTTCGTTACACTTAGTGCACGCCCATCCCCTCTGACTGGGTTCGGTATCACGGGTGCTTCGTTTCGAGGGAAGTAAACCCAAGTACAAAATATTGCACTTTTGATTTGCGATTGTACGCCTATAATTGTGTTTATTTGTCTTTTCATAATCAGCAAAGTATAGTATATGTCATGAATAAGTGATAATTGTGATTTAATTATGTTTTGTTTTTGTTGCATGTGACCTTTAATGGATAATTCACTTTTAAACTTTTCTCCAATGAAGGTAACATTCAAACTTACTTTTGGATGTACTTAAAATCATAGACGCAAAAATGCAATATTGCCGAGTGTAGCGTTAATGTAAAAACAAACAAAGCATCTCCGTGCATCTCCATGCATGAAGTGACTGGTGGTGGCAACAGTGTTGAGAACTCCATGAATAGGTTATGACTGAGATGATCTTATTTTGTGGGACAAACAACTTCACAGCGTGAATGATCTCGTCTTCACTTAACCTTGTCACCAACTAATTTTTTGTTTGTTTGTTTGTTTGTTGTTTAACGCCGCTATCATAACCAGCAGTGTTCCAGCTATATGGCGCGGGCTGTAAATAATTGAGTCTGGACCAGACAATCCAGTCATTGACATCATGACCATCGATCTATCATCAATTGCATCTCGCCTTCTCACCACTGAAACAAACTCTACCAGATGGAATTTGGATACAATCATGTTTGAATTCAGTGTTTGAATTAATCATTAGCGATACAGATTGCGACCTTTACTATCTCAGTTCCAGAAATTCGGCTGCCACTCCAATTTATATTGGGCTCAACAGAACTCAGGGTTACTTCTACTGGGTGGATGGGGCCAGTCGCACGTATTCGAACTGGGCCTCGGCTACTGGATCAAACGTTATGGACGCGGACACATGTGTGGGTCTGATGCCTGATAACAGCTACGAGTGGGGCACTTACCACTGCAATCAGAAAAATGTTGGTCTCTGCGAAAAGAGATGTAAGTACATGAACGTTGTCTATTAGATTACGCATTGTAACATTGGAAATAAAAAAAGAAATTTAAACAGGAAATCTGCAAAATGAAATTCCGTCTACTACATTCCATACAACATTATTTTTCTTTTGAATCAGTACCTTGTGAAGCGTCTGCAACATTCGTCCTTCATGCTCATGACGTGGACACAACTGACCAGTCAATAACACCAACGCTGGATGCCCAGTCGGAGGAGGAGTGCTCGACGCTCTGTCTCGAGTCGTGCCCGGAGTGCATGTACTTCATCCACGTGAACGGCACGTGCCGGCTGTTCGATGACGTCACACCGTCCAGTCTGGTCATCCAAAGAGCCGGAGCCAGGGTCTTCTGCAAGACACAGTGAATAAGAATATTCTGCAGCTATGACAATTCAGCCAATATCCGTGATCCCCAAATCCAACTCATCCATTATCGACAGCAGGGCAAATTGGTGAATTAATTTATCTCCGTGTTGTTACTCGTTTTCTGGAACCATTTGAACAGAGATCAATAAAATCGCATTATTGCACAGGTACCTGTTATTATTATAAAAGCCAGCTTGCACTGTGTGTCCACACCCCTCTTGAATGTCCTTATGACGCCCCTTACGTCGTGACACTATACCCCTCTTGAATGTCCTTATGACGCCCCTTACGTCGTGACACTATACCCCTCTTATCCTTATGACGCCCCTTACGTTGTGACACCATACCCCTCTTGAATGTCCTTAAGACGCCTCTTACGCCTGGGGATTTTACGTGCGCTTTGCTACATGATGTGGATTTCTCACACGAGCCGGCCAGACCATTTAGTGTCAGACCGAAAGAGGAATGATTATGACCACAGGAGTGGGCATTATTATTGCTTATTTGATTTTTGTATGAAATTAGAAATTTGAAGAAGTGGTGGGAGAGGGGTAGTAGCTTGTAGTGATTGTTTTCCCCTCTTTAGATCTGTATTAGTACGTTATGTCAGATAATATGCGCCCAAGACGGACCAGTACACTCAGTTGTTTGTGGTGGGTAGCAGGACATGTTCGGCTGTTTGTGGTGGGTAGCAGGACATGTTCGGCTGTTTGTGGTGAGTAGCAGGACATGTTCGGCTGTTTGTGGTGGGTAGCAGGACATGTTCGGCTGTTTGTGGTGAGTAGCAGGACATGTTCGGCTGTTTGTGGTGAGTAGACATGTTCGGCTGTTTGTGGTGGGTAGCAGGACATGTTCGGCTGTTTGTGGTGAGTAGCAGGACATGTTCGGCTGTTTGTGGTGGGTAGCAGGACATGTTCGGCTGTTTGTGGTGGGTAGCAGGACATGTTCGGCTGTTTGTGGTGGGTAGCAGGACATGTTCGGCTGTTTATGCTTGTTTGCAGTGTGTGCAAATACATGTTTGGCGTTTTTGATTTCACGAAGGCGAGAAATATATATTTTATAATTTAGTTGTAGGACCGTTTGGGCTGCTTTGTTTGTTGTCAAAACGCCGACACTGACAGGGAATCATATGTCACATACTGTCACATAATGTCACATAATGTCACCCATCTTTATGACGCTGCTGTTTTCGTGTCACCCCATTTGGACGTAGTTGACTGATTGTCAAATTGGATAAAATATGTGTAAATGAAAAAATATGTATTTTAGTCAGTTTCTTTACCGATTGTGTGTACATATACATATATTAATGATCTAAACCTAACCAGAAATATGTTTTTTCTTCAAGTTTCTTCAAGTCACTTGAAAAAATCGTTATCTCCGATTACAAAAAGTTTGTCAGAGGTGATAAATGTTCATCTTCAGACAGACTATTCGTTACATTACAGAAAACTGTATCTGCCAGAGTCTGTCGACTCTCGGCTTTATGGACAGCAAATAGCCCAGCTCTAAGTTGAAGAAACCCCCATGACACATGTAATAAACTTGAAGGTAGAAATTACCATCTTGTTGAAGAATGCAATAAAAGCTGCTTAAAGTACACACGCACGAATAATAACTATAATAAGTCATATTTCCTGGCGATGATCTCTGTATCCCAATTTCCGTCTACTAGTATTCAGAGTATGCGGTTACTAAGAAAGTATGTGTAGTGTTGTACATTAGGCACGGTTCTGCATCCTGGCCACATAAGAAGTACTCTTGTAACTAGATATAGATATATACAAGTCACTGGGAAAGTGAATTATAAAGTCACTTTATCTAGATGTAAGTCCTCTGTGTAAAAGAAAGTATTTTGTACTACTATTTATTATTTGTAGCTTATAGCCTTGCCAATCACAACTCAATATTAACTCAGTGTCACCTTGCTAATTACAGGTAGTTAATCCTCTCACGCTTCAAAGACTGCCGACTTCTTTTGTCAGGGCAAGCAAGGCCACTCGGTAAAATGTGTGTGTAAACATACTGACAGGTGGTCATCCATCCGGATATACGAAAAGAAATACATATACTTTAGCATTTTGTATGTGAAAATGACCGTCCGGTTACGGAAACCGGATTTCCGGATAAGTGAGTAATTTTACAACATTGTGAATTCGTTTTGAGGAATTTTCGTTTGGAAGGCGAGTTTTCCGGATATCTGAGGTTCGGATAAACGGGGCACGACTGTATGTCTTAAACTCAGACTACCAGCCCTGTCACCAAATGTATACATTTGTATAATCATTGTGATCTTCATATGCCGTTGTCTTACGGCCTGAAAAGTAATAAAGTTCTGTTCTGTCCACTATCTGTTCACTCCTTCAGAACGGGCGAGTCATGTCGTGAACCCTGATGCAATGCGGCTGTTTAAACTGATGTGAGCGGGGGTAAAATGGCTATAGGTCGCGCCGCATAACTACGGCTGTGTATTGGCAAATAAACTGTATTGCAATCCATTGCGATTCCGGTACCCGTATTGCGATACGTATTGCGATATATTGGGAATTTAAGTGTTTGACAGTGAGTGACACAAATTGTGCTTGTCAGTTCTATTTCCCACATTATAAGTCCCAAAACATAAATGTTATGGTTCGGATAACAACAATCTCAAAATTAGGTTATATAGTCATGGCTTCTATTTTCTTTTTCATTTTTTAGTATAACAATACGTCGTTTTGTAATTGAATGACGAAGGAAACATTTGTTGTGAATGAAAGTAGGTGTAGATTTTATTTAAACCATAAAGATAATCACAAAGACTTTATATATGTTCTTTACCCAATAATATAAGTTTAATACCATGCAGTCCTACGAATAACACAGTCCCGGTGTCACACAACGTAAACGTACTATTTGCATTACTTGTGTTGTAATATCGATATGTGTAGAATCTGTAGTGATTGTGTAACTATTTATAAACTAGTAGTTGTTGTAGTTGTTGCTGGTGCAGAAGCAGAATCTGAAGCAGTAGCGATCATGATCACACTATAACGTTTATCGCCTTATGCGTCAAGCATGACTTTTCGCTGAAAACGAAATCGTACTCTGTATCGATAGTAGTAGTAGTAGTAGTAGTAGTAGTAGTAGTAGTAGCAGTAGTAGTAGTAGAAGTGGTGGTGGCAGTGGTAGTAGTAGTAGTTGTTGTAGTAGTAGTTGTATTTGTAGTAGAAGTGGTGGTGGCGGTAGTTGTAGTAGTAGTGGTGGCGGCAGGCAGTAGTAGTAGTAGTAGTAGTGGTGGTGGTGGTAGTAGTAGTAGTAGTAGTAGTAGTAGTAGTAGTGGTGGTGGCGGTGGTTGTAGTAGTAGTAGTAGTGGTGGTGGTGGTGGTGGCGGTAGTAGTAGTAGTAGTGGTGGTGGCGGTGGTTGTAGTAGTATACGCAGTAGTAGTAGTGGTGGTGGTGGTGGCGGCGGTTGTTGTAGTAGTAGTAGTAGTAGTATACGCAGTAGTAGTAGTGGTGGCGGCTTGTTTTGTATATAAACCATCCCAATAGGAGCATTATAAACAATTTATTTCTGAGGACAGCCAGGCAGACTCAACCCAAGAAAGAAACGTAGTGGTCCATTACTCAAGTGGCCGAGTAGTACTATATCATACATCGTCATTCCGAGATAGAACACCGAAATGGTCCGTAGATATGGCACAATATGCATCTCATACAAATCATATCTGATATGACTTTTATAATAATTACAAAGACTTTTCATCAGACACATCACATGATAAATTAAATCGATGTAAACTGCAGGGGTAGTGTCTCGTTTTCATGATGTTAGTGAACATCGTTGACAAACCAAGGGCAACAACACCACCATACACTAAATGGCTCCCAAGAAATATTGCCCACTCTACGAATTTAACCGTTGATTAGTAGTCGTTGTATTGCCGCCATGGTAGACAGAGACAGCAATGTCAAGAATAACACTGAAAAAATAATACTTTATAAATTTGACTTAATATCAGTAAAATGTAAGAATGCTATGCACTTGGACATGCATCTGGATTCGGACTATACAATATAAAATCGATGTATCAGTAATGTGTACAATAGTTCGACAAGTATATTCAAATGTATAGTAAGTGGTGTATAAGATCCCAACTACCTTTACAGATTTAATTGCTACTAAACAAAATAGAATTATGTTCTTCTTTACACGTTAAAGTGAAATGAACTGTTGATTTCATTTCCCACTAGCAAAATACTGCAGATCAAAAATAAAAAGAAAACTGGTTCAAATTTTGTTATCCATTTAATACCATATCCAGATATCGGCCTTGACAAGTAGTTACTTGTTCGCCAAATACAGACCGAACTGCAGAAAACAATAATTAAATAATTAATGACAGTGAGGAGAGACAGGAGGAGGTTAATGAGAAACTTTAAGTATTATCTAACATCAAAATATACACTATATAATATAATATAAACTATATATTCCAAGTACCAATTTGTCAACTGTGAACCTGCAATGTGTATTATGTTTCTTGTTAGTGTATATAATTATTGATGTTTCTGTAGAACATCGTAAAGTCTAATTTCATCTATTTCTATTTAAACAGAACAGCTTTTTCTTAATGAACTTTCATAACCCATATGGGTTTGTGAAAAACAGGAACAATTTAACTTCCCGTGTATAAACTTTCGATACGGAAAATATATATCTGATCAACTCCTCTGAATTAAACCTACACACTCTCAGTGCGGTCTCCTTTATGCTCTTTTCCTCATGTTTAGTGTTCTATTTGTATTCAGGAAATTAACACAATCACATATCAGTATAATTAACGTTTTAACAATGTGTGATCGAGTGCTGATAATGTTCCAAGCAACAAGTATTAGTATATACAACGGATATAGTATGGAAACGAAAAGCGATTCTATTAAACTTAAATTGCATACATGTGGCTACATTCCCATTTTTAGAACACCACAGCTAATTAATATTTCACGTGAAAAGACGTGTTCATGTAATTATTAAAATCCCCTTAATGGCATCTTCTATTACATGTCACCATCAGCCCTTACAGAATATTTTAATTAAAAAGAACCAGTTGTCATGAAAATATTTTCCTTGATGCGTCGTATTTTCAGATATTTCCTTGGGAAACAGTGAAAGTCGAACGGAATATATTCTGTTTCCGTTTAAATGCCAATATTCCGAATGATTAACTGCTCCGATATTTGCCGTAATGTAACTTGTGGTGAAATGTCAACATTAACAACAAACATGTGTTATTCTTAAAATAAAACTGCCTTTTGTGTCTTCAATAATAGACTCCAAGCTTTGCGAGTGTTTTTATTTATTGTGTACATAACATATATTCCTTTTTAATAATTATTTGTGAATGTTCACATTCCTTCCTCAAATCAGTCTAAACAGTAATCGAACATTTACAAGTATTTTCACAATTACATCTTCCATCCATATTCACTTCGCAAAGAATAATTTTACATGAAAGTGAGTGAACCTTTTCACTGACTACCATTGTCAATCCCGGTGCGTGATTAAAACATAAGATTCATCGTTTATACAAATGCCACTATTATGTGTACATTTGAAACATACATTATCATAGTCTGACGTATCACTTGGTTAGTTATTAGTTCTAAACAATAAGGGACAGCAGCAACATATGGACGATGTAAGTGTTAGTATGTATGTTTCTAAGGGTGCAGATATTATATATCACAAGTAAAAATGTAGCAGTTACAGTATACACACCTCGTGTATATTACAACGGGTGTTTAGCCCCGGCCTGACTATTACTGAACATTTGAACACATTTGTGTCTTGTATTGAATATGAACGAACTGATTTCTTTTCTAAGCTTGATAAAAGTACAAGACAATTAGGAATGACAGTTTATATATTTTGTTAATTGTTGTTCATCACGAACGACCTATACGTTTACTGTGTAAATTATTGTACATCTTAAAACGTTGACCCGTTGGTAGTTGCAAGAGTGGTGATGACAATTACTGGCGTACAGTATTCCTAATAGTGGCAGGACTATTGGTGGTATAGTAGTATTGAACCGAGTGCTTTTGGTAGCTATATTTGTGACATAGTAGTCAAAGCTCTGGTAGTATAGTAGCAATAGTATTGGTAGTATAGTAGACCAAACATTCGCAGTAATAGTATGAACCAACAGTACTGATGTTAGAAGTGGAAATGTAGCAGCAGCAGCAGCAGTAGTAGTAGTCGCAGTAACAATGGTGACTGTGTTTTGTGTGGTAGTAGTTGGTTGATGACCAAGAGTAAAGAAATAACTGAGGTACTGAAACAAAGACAATTGTTTTGTTCAATGACATCTTGAAGAAATCGCAACTTTATCATCGTTTTATACTCCTGAACACCAATGGCCCCTGTAGAAATGTATCCTACTTTCAGTGACAAAGATGCTGCTGATAAACAGGTTGCCAACTCCGCCATTTATCACCGACTCGAAGTTCAAAGGCGATGTTCCACGGAGACTGCCACCTGACAATATAATGCGGGGACGCAGTTTTCAACAATGATGTATCAGGTACTTTTATTTTTTATTCTTCTGTCTACATCTTTTGGTGTCAACAAGGAGCATATGTGCGCTGAATTTGTATTCAGCTTTTTGTCATTGAAACTAAGCATTTCATGCTTCTGAAACCAATAGGCATTTATGTTTATATGACTGTTTAAAATTTGGTGGAGAAGAATTGGTTTAGAGTACAGTGTTTTATCGTGTTTTTGACCACTCAGTGCTAAACCCCAACTTTTCATGGTAAACTTAAATGTAACAGGAACCTAAGGGTAGAGTGAACTGCACCATTCAGACGATATCATGAGCATTTACATTTGTTTACGAATCAGTAATCTATATCTGTTTACGAATCACAAATCGTGAAGATACAGGACTTTCGCAAAGCCCACCCATAGAGCTACAGCCGTCGGCAACACATGCTAAGGCAAGGCAATTATTCACATGACATACAATTGCATCAGACATCATTTTCAGTGATGGGTCTAGTTTGGGATGTTGTCCACATATCTACAATAAAACACTTTTGGAAGGTTTTCTGGGCCCTTCAATATTGTAACCCTTGTCGAACGACTTATGAGCAAGAGTCCTATGACCTTTTGAAGTCATCGAACGATCATGCTCGATTGTACCTCAGAAGTTGTAAAATGACACCAAAGGCTCTAGCTGCTAGAATACTACTCGACATGAAGGGAAAGTTGGCTGTTTGAAAGTTGAAGCTATCCTGATTGTCAGTAAGTTTAAATCGAGTTTGGTCATCCCAGAAGCACCACGGCCCCAAAACGACATGGGCTAAGCTTGGATTTAAACAAAGGAAATATAATGCTGCGTAGAATCCTGACCAAACAGAGAGAAAATAGGGAAGAGGATTTCGAAGCAAGAGTAGTGTCATATATTTGCCCATCTTCTTACCTGTCAACCATAAGCAGGGCAATGCCCAGACCAACACCTCACCACGACCCTTCATACTTCATTCATACATCATTACTGAGATAGCATGTGCAAGTATAACGACATGGATGTAGATATTGTATCTAGTTTACTCAATAATGGTTAAAACACAACAAGGTAGAAATCATACGTCTATCCCTAAATTCAGTCTTTTCCGACAGCTTCATGTCAAGCTGGTGAGAACCGCCACGTGTAAGTGTCTGCAATACAAAGTATCTCAACTAGACTTGGTTCAGACAACGTTGCTGTACAGAAACCCACAATACGTCCGTTTGTTGCACCATAATACACACACATTTACAACACTATAACTGTATACATCGTTCTGAAATCGAAAGGGCACTTCTCTGCTGTACGGCCGATGCCCTTTCTCCTGGTAGTGAGCGTGTTCAAGAAATGCTAGTCTTCTGACCATCTGAGATTTGCATAGTTTTCAACTGTTAAGTCCCACAGTTGTGCACAGTTTGACTAGAGACTGCACACCCACCTCAGAGGGCGTGACTACAGCAGACACTTGAAGGGCTTTACCACGCAGGATAGGTAGAGAGGTCTACAGGTACAGGAGATTGTCGTAGCCCTAACCTGGAAAACCAAAACACAGTTCCAACTTCGATTTTAATTATATTTTATCTAATATTCCTTCTTATGGATATCCACACTCTTCCTTGTCAGTATGGTTCAGATAATGTCCGTAAAAATATAGTTCGTTTGAAGTAGATATCACTAACGACATCCAACACACTCCGTCAACGTCTTTCCTCCAAGAGTGTACCTGTAGCCTTCGAAACAGCACTTTTCGATTCACTAGTCCGACTGCTGATGCAGTCCTTGTGTCAATCACTGGATCATAATGATAATGATCATCAAGTTGCTGTATGGTAATCCTTGCTGGTGTCACCATCACCATTCATATGTTCTTTTGGTACTACTTTGGTGTCTGGAGAGAACTCATCGTGAACGTGACCCTCCGGAGAGTCAGTCATGTCCCCGGGGCTACCCTCCCCGCTGTCGAGGGTGGGGGACATGGGACTGGGGGGTTTTCCTGTGGAGCGGGGTGCGGGTCGACGTTTCGCTTCATCCTTCTTCCACTTCATCCTTCTATTCTGAAACCATATCTTTATATGTCTCTCTGTAAGATTCAACATGGCGGCTAACTCTATCCGACGTGGTCGGGAAATGTATTTATTGAAGTGAAATTCCTTCTCTAGCTCTAGAAGCTGACCTCGAGTGTAAGCGGTACGGGTTCGCTTGTTCTCGTCTTCAATTGGGTATTGGGCTCCTGCAAATATAAACACAATTGTCATCAGGCATGGCACGACCAGAAACATAGCGTCAACTACAACAGCACATGTATTGACAACCAACACGAGCATCGGTCACATCCAACGACAACCAAAACGTTACACAACATCGATAGTATCATCAATATCATCATCATCATTACCACCACTACTAACATCACCACTATTATCACCAATAGCATCATCATCATCATCATCATCATCATCACCATCGTCACCAATTAGAAGCTCTTGAAATATATTGAAGCATCTTTTTAAGAGTCGAGAAAGTGGACAAAACATTGTCAACAACAGCGTCCTTTCACGCTGTTCTTTAGTCCTTTTTCAGTTTAAAAAAATCAGTAAATGCACTATCGTGTCACTGGATGTTCCGGTCCGTCAGTTGACTGTCTGGTTCGTTTACGTCGGGAGTCATGAGTACCGCTGTGCAACAAACAATTAATTTATACAAATTGTGTTAGCAAGGGATGATGCCAGCAGGCAGGACATGCATCTTTGGCGAATGCCTGCATCATCATTTTTTTCAGTTATCTATTCAAATAATTTTCACGGCTGTTGTTTCCTTTTAGGCGCAGTGGATTCTGTTTCGGTGAATAATCAACAAAGATTATGTTTTGCGTTAACGCTGTGAATTTACGATCATAAATAGGGTTCATTTTATGATAATACTAGCCAGGTTAACCAGGTACGACATATTCTTAATGTATATTGCGTTATTTCCACATATAGTTTAGAAGTCATAATGAATTCATGTACATGATTAAACAGTCATGGTTTTCCCCGAAATATGTCAGTATAAGAAAGCCACCAAGTACTATTATTATTTTGTAATATTGCAAACATTCCGGTTCATGATGCTGCAAATTACTTACCTACCATACGTCAAGGTGTGAAGTCAGTTAATGTCCAAAGTGATATTTTCGCTTTATCAATTTACAATAGTTATTAATTTTCACAAATTGATTGTGAAATCTGTTCATTTTAAAATATAATAACAGTTTCCAAATATTTTTATGTTTATATTTATGAAAACGAATGTATAAATGTTTCTGTATATATCTATGTATCATTTATGTTGGGGTTTTTTCGAATCCGGGCAAAATTAGTCTACTGTGATCTTTTTCAGCCCTTTGAAGCTCTTGATAATATTTAGTCAATTTGATCATTAAATGGACAGATATTTCAGCCAGTTTGTAAAATAACATTTTATATAATATCTTTTTAATGTTCTAAGGAATCACATTTAACACATCGATTGATTTCACACATCGACCGTAGCATATATAAATAAATTAACTATCTCATTACCGCTATAGTTGAGAAGTGTACGTGAAAATACATACTTATATTTGCAAGAATATGTTTTGAAGCAAACTTTGGTTTCCATTGCTTTATTATTCCTTACAAAAAAGTTGAGTGTTTCATTCCTTATAATCAATTGCAAATATTTTTCTTAGGAATAATTGAGAAAAGTTTGCAACATAACATTATCTATCATACATGATTTCATCGCGAGATTATCTACGCAATGGTGGTGTCGGGCTTCAATAATATACAGAATGTACACTTACAACCATGGTTGAAATAAACACGCATATTAGAACTTCGAAGATTAACCGTTAACCTGATAACAACAAAAGGTGGCAAATTAGAATAATCACTACAGATGTTTTAACGCCAAACACCACGGGAATGCCAAGCAGAAAATAAATAGACTTTATCAAAACCATTTAACCGATCCCGTATAGACGCATAAGCGGGGTCTTACAGACAGAATTCTTCTGAAATTATGTTCGCATTTATTTCATATAGGTTTACTACATGAACTGGTCAGAATATCGAATCGGTGAATTTAAACAAATTTCACAATCAAAATTGAAACAGAGATGGTTTCCGCGATTTCATGAAAACAGTAATTTAATAGTTGAAGTATGTGTAATGGTTTGGTTTCCCTACAAATTCTCAGAAGTTAAGGAAATGGTTCGAGCGGCAGTGTGAACATGGCTGAATTTATTCATTACTTAGTCAAATGTCTTAGTCTTAATCATTTGTTATTTAGAAAACTGACATTTATTTTACACAAGTATATTATCTAGATGTTTGTCAAGCAGACCGACTAGAGAAAATAGTGAACTCAGAACTCAGAAATTACATATTATTCTTCGCTTGTACAAAACTTACTTGGAATAATAGCAATGCTTTTAAACGAGGTAAAAAGTTATAAAACACGTAAACAAAAATTCTAGAGATTTTCAAAAAAATTCTAAAGATCAGCAAAGATGTTTTAGTGTATTTGTTACAGTTGTAAATTGATAGGAATATAGCTGGATGTATCTGGTTAGTTTAGAGTTTTAGATTCAAAGCCTCAGAGAAAAGCATCACTATTTTGATGTGATAAGAAAAACAAAAACTTTTAAAAACCGTATAAAAGGGTAATTGTGGCAGTCAGGATGAGATGAATTTCATAATTAAGGAACGGGTTTTAAAGTTATCTCATTTACATGTATTTCACCCCTTACAGGGTTGTACACTGTCAGCATTGAATAATCCACTAAGCACGTGCAAACGTGAAAACGTTTGTGAAATTCCTTGAAATGTTAATGAAAGACTGTAAAAATGAACCTTGTACGCCTATGCTTGCAGTTCCTCTGTATAGGTTTGCACGCGTTGTTAAACAGAACAGAGATGTGCAGGTCTCAGTCACGTGTCTACTTCCAACACAACCTTCCAATATTTTCAAATACAACCTTGTTTCTCAGTTTAGGAAATTGTAAAGGCAACAATGTACAGTTTCCGTGCCTTTTCAGGTTTCGAAGTCGTTCAGGAAATTGTCATGCCGAGTCCTGTTGTAACATGAGATAAAAAATCCAAACTTTAAAAGATAAATTTGATCACACCACAGGGGTGGAAGTGAAGGTTAGTTTTATCAAATATCAGTGAGTAGCTAAAGTTGATACGCAGACAAAAAAAATAACTAAAGGGCATAAAAACTAAACCTTTAGTTGAAATTATCTTAAAAAGTAACATTGTAACCCAAAATAATTAATTGTACTTGCGCCTAGTCAGCACTAAAAGATGTTTTGTGCATGGTTTTTAAAATATAATGTTAAACTTCAGAAAATTAGAAAAACATAGCACACATTTTCTACTTTACAAACATGGGAGGGGGCATGTGATTTCAAATTCATTTCTTACCAATGTCGTCATTTTACACACAATTACCCAGAGACAGATTACTTTTACAAACTATTGTCGATCTGAGTATTGGATAATGAAGCTCTTTTTATGTTCAAATTACATAAAATATACACTCGGGAAAACACCTTTTATAGAAGCCCAGACAGCTGATTGGGTTAGATCGATAACTCTTTGTGCTAACAATTTCTTGTCTCACATTGAGAGGGTTGGTTGGAAACCCGGATAGGATCCAAACCCCAAAAGCACTATAATCTGCGCTTAACTGATAACAAGTCTAATACCAGATATAACACTAGCTACATTTGACCTCTTCTAATTGGCATTGTGCAATCTTTTATTTTATGTATCGTTTAGAATGAAAATAAAAATCATGAAAACGTTCTATACATAATAGAACATGCTCTCGTTTAATGAAAAAGATTCCTCTAATACATTATTAGCAAAGTTAAAATATATTCAGCATAAATGTCCAATCTCAAGATGAAAATATTCTTTTATCAACCATATGCCTCTTTGTTACTCATTATCAAAGTATGTTCGATTTCCCCCCACAAGGTATTTCATGAAGTGTCTGTCCCGACCCCTGTCAGGTATACAGCGCCCCTGGCGGCCGTCTCAGTACTGGTTTCCTAGAAGCACCGGTGGCGGCTGTGTCCGAGCGAGCCTTCCTGATTACAGTGTATTCGCTCAGCCAATCAAAGCCAGATCAATCAAGCCAAGCTATTGTTGCTTATCTTACAGTCTGTCAGATGACCGAGTGAGGTTTAGTGCTTCTCTCCTCGGTAGGAATATTTGGTTAAATATTTGGATACCGAATTAATATTAGAAATTGTATTAGTATGGACATCTCGCAGTGGGTTGAATGACCAAGGTTCTTTTCCATTTCGAGTAATAATCTTACATCTCATACTCATGACTGCTATAGGTTCTGTTGTATTTTGTTACATTAATTTAAACTTATAAACATAATAAAATAAAGTATCACATAATAAAAGCAACACATTAAGAATTTTTATCCTTCTATAATGGCAATCCATCTATTTGAAATGTGTGTTTTTAAAATAAATTCAAATGTTTTAATTCAAAATGGGTTATATAACTTTGTTTCTTTAACATAAAGAGAATAGCTTATTACGATAATTATAAAATATCTGTATATCCAATAGAAGGGGTAATACAAAACCGTTGTATACAAGCAAACGGATTCCAAGGTCTGTTAGTGTATCAGAAGTCGTATGACCTGATGTTAATTGTCATACACAATTCCATTATCAAACCACATCATACTTCCCACAGCGTCGGGTACAGTATATACAGTCTCTAACGTCTAAACGTTTAAGGAATGATAACGATTTAAGTGCACAAGGTTGGTCATTTTTTAAATTACAAAAAGTACATAGTACGTCCTTTCACTTGCATCAATAGGTGCGTTTGTTCTTAATCTGTACATAGGTTCGATAAAGGGCGACGTTTACATATGAATATTAAAGGTCACAGAAATATTTTCCTCACATATCGATATACAAAAATGTATGATTATCATGAAAATATGTCAGCAGGCACAGTTTGAAAGAGGCACGGTTAGACCGATGGTATAAGGCGCTTGCATTCGATGTGTAGAGTTGCGTCCCTTATGCGTTTAAGGATCCTGACTCGTCAGTTCGAATCTCGAACTACGCCGATGATCATTAATCGGTGTCCATGTGGTTCACAAAAGTGGTAAACATGTACACTAACACCACTCATGTGATCAACATGAAGGTGACACGCGATGACAGAA